ATTTTTTTTTGACTTCTTTTCTTTTTAGTTACAACTCATACTTTAGAATGCAGGTTTTTTTATTTTACTTTTATTTTCTTTTCTTTTTTTTTTTTATACAGGCAGATTGTTTATGCTGCATCTTTTTATCTGAGTAGTAGGTACTATATATTTGTGTTGAGACAAGCGTCTCGCTCTGGATGGTCGAGGCCGGCTGATGCAACGAGCGAGACCCGTTGCTACTGAAAAAAAATTGAAAGAAATGAGTGCAACTAAAAGATTACAGAAAAAAAACGAGGCCGGACCGTTCCAGGGGGTGGGCGCGTGCCCTGTGGTCCAGCTTCTCCGGGGAGGACGGCCGGAGGCGGACCCGAGGATTCGCTCAGGCCAGGGAGTTGGAAGGCCATGCACTGCAGCAGAGCCGGACCCTGTCCTCTACTAAAAATAGACAATAATTTAATGGCAACTAGAAATGAGCAAATAAGTATATAGAAAAAAGAGCGGGCGTGGATGGCGCGCTGCCTGTCGTTCCAGCGCCTCCTTTGTAGGGAAGTCCGAGGGCAGGGCTTCGCTGGAGGCCAGGATTGGGAGGCCGCTCGCCCTGAGCGAGGCTGAGGCCACGCCGCCGCTACTCCCGGCCGGGCGACAGGGCGAGACTCTGTCTAAAAAAAAAAGAAAAAAAAAACACCCGGGGAGCCCAAACCGAGCGTCTCGGCAAAGCGGTATGTCGACCGTGAGGCTCGCGGAGGTGGAGGCCGGAGCGGGCTGAGGCGCCCTGTAGGTCGGCGGGCGTCGTCGGTCGAGGCGGTCGCCGAGCGGGTGCCGCGATTCATCCTCACCGCTCGGGCTGCGGACTTCCTACCGCTCCGTGAACGGCACAGGGGGTGGAGGCAGGTGAGCGGGTGTAGGCAGAGAGGTTGGGGCAGAGAGGCGCGGGAGGAGAGGGCGGTCCGTGGGGCGTGGGTGTCTGCTCACAAGCCGGGGGACGGGGTCCCCACGCCCGCCTGGGGGGGGTCACGGGGTCGCTGGGGAAGGTCACGGTGTTTTCACCCAGGGGGTCCCCGCCCTCCCCCGCTCCATGTGGCGAACATATCCTGCCACAATGTTCTCGCGGGACCTCGGTGGCTAGGGTCGTGCTCCAGCCTCCGCGAGGATTGTTTTCTGGGCACGGCCCGGTGCGTGTCTGGTGGCGGCGCTGATAGTCCTTTCCACCAGGCAGGGTTCGTGTTTGCCTGGGGTTGTGGAGGTCGGACTTACTCCGGATTGAGGTTCGGGCTTACGGGGAGGCCGGGAGGCTCGGGGAGGCCGGGAGGTTCGGGGAGGCCGGGAGGTTCGGGGAGGCCGGGAGGTTTAGGGAGGCCGGGAGGTTCAGGGAGGCCGGGAGGTTCAGGGAGGCCGGGAGGTTCAGGGAGGCCGGGAGGTTCAGGGAGGCCGGGAGGTCAGGGAGGCCGGGAGGTTTAGGGAGGCCGGGAGGTTCAGGGAGACCGGGAGGTTTAGGGAGGCCGGGAGGTTTAGGGAGGCAGGGAGTTTAGAGGCCAGGAGGTTCAGGGAGGCTGGGAGGTTCAGGGAGGCCAGGAAGTTTAGGGAGGCCAGGAGGCTCAGGGAAGCCAGGAGGTTCGGGGAGCCCGGGGGGTTTAGGGAGGCAGGGAGGTTTAGGGAGGCCGGGAGTTTAGATGCCGGGAGGTTCAGGGAGGCCGGGAGGTTCAGGGAGGCCAGGAGGTTATGGAGGCCGGGAGGTTTAGAGAGGCCGGGAGATCAGGGAGGCCGGGAGGTTCAGGGAGGCCAAGAGGTTTATAGAGGCTGGGAAGTTTAGGGAGGCCAGGAGGTCAGGGAGGCTAGGAGGTTCAGGGAGGCCAGGAGGTTTGGGGAGGCTCAGGGAGGTTTATGGAGTCTGGGAGGTTCAGGAAGGCTGGGAGGTTTATGGAGGCTGGGAAGTTTAGGGAGGCCGGGAGGTGTAAGGAGGCCGGGAGGTTCAGGGAGGCCAGGAGGTTCAGGGAGGCCGGGAGGTTCAGGGAGTCTGGGAGGCTCAGGCAGGTCGGGAGGTCAGGGAGGCCAGGAGGTTATGCAGGCCGGGAGGTTTAGAGAGGCTGGGAGGTTCAGGGAGGCCGGGAGGTTTAGGGAGGCCAGGAGGTTCAGGGAGGCTGGGAGTTTCGGGGAGGCTGGGAGGCTCAGGGAGGCCGGGAGGTTCAGGGAGGCCGGGAAGCTTAGGGAGGCCGGGAAGTTTAGGGAGGCCGGGAGGTTTAGGGAGACTGGGAGGTTTAGAGAGGCTGGGAGGTCAGGGAGGCCAGGAGGTTCAGGGAGGCCAGGAGGCCGGGAGGCTCAGGGAGGCAGGGAGGTTAGAGGCCGGGAGGTTTAGGGAGGCCGGGAGGTCAGGGAGGCCAGGAGGTCAGGGAGGCCGGGAGGTTTAGGGTGTGGCCCCAATTCCGGATCGGGCCGGGAACCACCACGTCGTTCTTTTAAGTCACCTGTCTTCTTCCTAGTCTCCTTCCCCGTGGAGAGGGAGAAACTGAGGCAGGCCGTAGAAGACTCGTAGATGAGCTGATACGGCGAGTTCACGCCCAGGACCGAGATGTTCATGGAGGAGTCTGGGGGGGAGAGAGCGATCAATCCCTCCTCAGGTCTGTCCTTTCTCTCTTTTCTTTTTCTCTTTAGTTTTTTCTTTAATTTTATTTTTCTTTTTTTCTTTAATTTTATTTTTCTTTTTTTCTTTAATTTTATTTTTCTTTTTTTTAGTTTTTTCTTTAATTTTCTTTAGTTTTTTCTTTAATTTTATTTTTCTTTTTTCTTTAGTTTTTTCTTTAATTTTCTTTTTCTTTTTTATAGTTTTTTCTTTAATTTTCTTTTTCTTTTTTTTCTTTAGTTTTTTCTTTAATTTTATTTTTCTATTTTTCTTTAATTTTTCCTTAATTTAATTTTTCTTTTGTTCTTTAATGTTTTCTTTAATTTTATTTTTCTTTTTTTCTTTAATATTGTCTTTAATTTTATTTTTTTTCTTTAATACTTTCTTTTTCTTTTTCTTTTTTTTCTTTAGTTTTTTCTTTAATTTTCTTTTTCTTTTTTTTCTTTAGTTTTTTCTTTAATTTTATTTTTCTATTTTTCTTTAATGTTTCCTTAATTTAATTTTTGTTTTGTTCTTTAATGTTTTCTTTAATTTTATTTTTTTTCTTTAATACTTTCTTTAATTTTATTTTTCTTTTTTTTCTTTAGTGTTTTCTTTAATTTTATTTTTCTTTTTTTTTAGTTTTTTGTTTCATTTTATTTTTCTTTTTTCTTTAGTTTTTTTGTTACTTTGCTTTTTCTTTTTTTTCTTTAATTTTCTTTTTCTTTTTTTAATTTTTTAAAAAATATTATTTTTAATGAATTAATACCCTTTCTATCGCTTCTTTGTTCTCTTGTCAACATCTAAGTCGGCCTCTAGACATTTTCTTTTTTTAATTTTTATTTGGAGACAGAGCCTCGCTCTGTCACCCGGGCTGGAGTGAGTGCCGTGGCGTCAGCCTCGCTCACAGCAGCCTCCAACTCCTGGCCTCCAGCGATCCTCCTCCCTTGGCCTCCCTCCCGAGTAGCTGGGACTACAGGCATGCACCACCACGCCCGGCTCGTTTTTTTTTTCTATTTTCACTTGTTTGGCTAATTTCTATTTTTCTTAGTAGAGACAGGCTCTCTCTCTTCCTCAGCCTGGGCCTCCAACTCCTGACCTCCAGCGATCCTCCCTCCTCAGCCTCCCTCCCGAGTAGCTGGGACTCCAGGCATGCGCCACCACGCCCGGCTCATTTTTTTTTTTCCTCTGTATATATTTCTAGTTGTCCAACTCATTTCTTTTTTTTTCTATTTTTTTTTCTTTTAGAAATAAAAATAATTTACTTCTTCTTTTTTCTTTTTTTTCTGACAGTTGGGCACATTTTTTTTTTTTTTACGGGAGGGAGGTCTCGCTCTTGCCCGGGGCCGGCCTCCAAATCCTGACCTCGCTCGAGCGATCCTCCCTCCTCGGCCTCCCAGAGTGCTGGGACGACGACGGGCGTGAGCCTCCGCTAGGCCCGGCCTCCGTTGGCGGCCTCCTGTGGGCAATCGTGTGTGCGGGTCTCACCGCGGGGCGGGGCAGGGGCGACCCGGGCACCCACCTTTGCCCGCGTGGCCTCCGTAGCCGTCCCTGCCGGCCGAGCCCACCAGGCAGTCCAGGGCCATCTCCTTGGCGTTCAGGTGAAGGAGCTGGCTGGCCTCCACAAAGCGCCGGGTGATGTCCATCGGGTTGGCGCCTGCAGGGACGGAAGGACCCAGAGACCGTCGCCCCTACGAGCCCCGGCCTCCGCCCCCGGCCTCCGCCCCCGGCCTCCGCCCCCGGCCTCCCTTAAAAGAATTAATTTTTTTTAAATTAAAAATTTTTTTAGTCCCTAAACAATTAATTTTTTAGATAGAAAAAAATGATTACAGAAAATAGAAAATTTAAACAGAAAAAAAAAATTTTTTTTTAAATAGAAAAATTAGTTACAGAAAATAGAAAATTTAAGTATAAAAATTAATTTTTTAGATAGAAAACTTAAACACAGAACATAGGAAATTTAAATAGAAACATTAATTTTTTAAATAGAAAAATTAGAGAAAATACAAAATTTAAATAGAAAAGTTAATTACAGAAAACAAAAATAGGGAACATTTTTTAGATAGAAAAGTTAATTACAGAACATAGAAAATTTAAATAGCAAAAAAATTTTTAAACACAAAAGTTAATTACAGAAAATAGAAAATTTAAATAGAAAAAAATTTTTAAATAAAAAAGTTAATTACAAAAAAATACAAAATTTGAATAGAAAAAAATTTTTTAACATAGAAAAGTTAATTACAGAAAATAGAAAATTTAAACAGAAAAAATTTTTTTAGATAGAAAAATTACAGAAAATAGAAAATTCAAATAGAAAGATTAAGTTTTTAAATGGAAAAATTAATTACAGAAAACAGAAAATTTAAATAGAAAAGTTAATGTTTTAAATAGAAAAATTACAGAAAATTTAAATAGAAAAATCAATCAAAATTAATGTTATTTATTAATAAAAAATTAATTTTAAACATAAAAATTAATTTTTCTATTTAAAAAAATTAATTGGCCAACGCTAAAAGATAGTGATAGAGGAGCCGAGGAGGAGGGAGCAGAGAGGAGGAGGAGAGGAGGAGAGGAGGAGGAGGGAGGAGAGAGGAGGAGGAGGAGGAGGAGAGAGGAGGAGGAGGAGGAGAGAGAGGAGGAGGAGAGGGAGGGAGGAGGGAGAGAGGAGGGAGGAGGAAGGAGAGAAGGAGGAGGAGGAGAGGAGGGAGGAGGTAGGAGAGGAGGAGGAGGGAGGAGGAGGAAGGGAGGAGGGAGGAGGATGAGGAGAGGAGTGAGGAGAGGAAGGAGGGGAGAGAGAGGAGGGAGGAGAGGAGGAGGAAGAGGGAGGAGGATGGAGGAAGGGAGAGGGAGGGATGAGGGAGAGAGGAGGAGAGGAGGGAAGAGGAGAGGAGAGGAGGAGGAGGGAGGAGGAGGAGGAGAGAGGAGTGAGGGAGAGAGAGGAGGAGGGAGGAGGAGGAGGGAGCGAGGGGAGGAGAGGAGGAGGAGAGGAAGAGGAGGGGAGAGGAGGAAGGGAGAGGAGGGAGGGAGGGAGGGAGAATGAGAAGGAGAGGAGGAGGAGAGCAGGAGGAGGAGGAGGGAGGAGGGAGGAGGGAGGAGGAGAGAGGAAGAGGGAGAGGAGGAGGAGGAGGGAGGAGGGAGGAGCGAGGGGAGGAGGAGGAGGGAGGAGGAGAGGGAGGAGAGGAGAGGTGAGGATGAGGGAGGAGGAGAGGAGAGGAGGGAAGGGCAGGAGGATGAGGATGATGGAGGGAGGCGCGAGAGAAAGCAGGAGAGGAGGAGAGCAGGATGGAGGAGGGGAGCGAGGAAGGAGAGGAGGAGGAGGGAAGAAGGAGCGAGGAGGAGGAGGGGAGGAGGAGTGGGAGGAGGGAGGAGGGAGGAGAGGAGGAGGAGCGAGGAGGGAGGAGGAGAGTGACGGAGGAGGATCGAGAGGAGGAGAGACGATGAAGGAAGAGGGAGGAGGGAAGCGAGGAGGAGGAGCGAGGAAGAGAGCGAGGGAGGGAGGGGAGAGGAGAGGAGGAGAGAGGAGAGGAGGAGGAGGAGGGAGGAGAGGAGGGAGCGAGGGATGGAGGAGGAGGAGGAGTGGAGGGAGGGAGGCATTGGAGGGAGGAAGGGAGGACGGAGGAGGAGAGGAGAGGAGGATGGAGGAGGGGCAGGAGGAGGAGGAGAGAGAGGGAGGAGGAGGAGGAGGAGGGAGAGGGAGAGGAGGGAGGAAGGAGGAGGAGAGGGGGAGGAGGAGGGAGGGGGGAGAGAGGAGGGGCGAGGAGGAGAGGGGAGAGGGGAGGAAGGGAGGAGGAGGGGAGAGGAGGGAGGAGGAGAGGGAGGAGAGGGAGGAGGAGGAGGGAGGGAGGAGGAGGGAGCCGAGGACGGGAGGAGAGAGGAGGATGGAGAGGAGGAGAGAGGAGGATGGAGAGGAGGGGAGAGAGAGGAGGAGGAGCTGAGGAGGCAGGAGGAGGGACGAGTAGGAAGAGCGAGGCGAGGAGGAGGAGGGAGCGAGGAAGGAGGATGGAGGGAGGAGGAGGAGGGAGGAGGAGGGAGGAGGAGGAGCGAGGAGGACGGGGAGGAGGAGGAGGAGGAGGGAAGGAGGAGGAGAGGAAGGAGGAGGGGAGGAGGAGGGAGTGGAGGAGGAGGAGGGGAGGAGGAAGGGAGGGAGGAGGAGGAAGGAAGGAGGAGGAGGATGGGAGCAGGAGGGAGGAGGAGGAGGAAGGAGGAGGAGGGGAGGAGGGAGGAGAGGAGGAGGAGAGGAGACAGGAGGAGGAGGAAGGAGCAGGCAGGAAGAGAGGGAGGAGGGAGGAGGGAGGAGGAGGATGGATGAAGGAGGAGAGGAGTGGACGGGAGGAGGAGGAGGAGGAGGGGAGAGGAGGAGAGGGAAGCAGGAGGAGGAGGAGGAGGATGGAGGAGGAGGAGGAGGAGGAGGGAGGAGCAGGGAGGAGGGAGGAGAGGAGGAGGAGAGTGAGGAGGAGGGAGGAGGAGGTGGAAGGAGGAGGGAGGAGGAGGAGCGAAGGACGGAGCGACGGGAGGAGAGGGAGGAGGTGAGAGGAGGGAGGAGGGACGGAGGGAAGAGAGGAGGGAGGGAGAGAGGAGCAGGAGGGAGAGGAGGAGGAGGAGGAGAGGAGGGAGGGGAGGAGGAGGAGAGAGGGAGAGAGAGAGGAGGAGGACGGATGGAGGACTAGAAACAGCGGGTCTGCGCGCCTCCAACCCGCCAGGGCCTCCACCGATGGGCTCATCTTCGAGGCCGAGGCAGTCGTGAGCAGGTGCAGCCGACTTGGCGGAACCTCCGCAGCGCTCCCCCGGCTGGTTGCGACCGGCGGAGCCGAGTGGAGGCCGGAGGGCCATGTGTGCCTCCACCGCGCCCCCGGCGCCCCGCGCGGCGTCCCGGGAGCAGAAAGCGGCGCCGGTGGCCACACCTGTAGATCTACACTGCGATGGCGAGAGGCCGTAGGGCAGGCAGATTGCACGAGGTCAGGAGTTCAAAACCAGCCTGAGCAGAGGCAAGGACCCCGCTGCTCTTACTATAAATAGAAAGAAATTAATTGGCCAGAACTAATATATCCCTTCTGCTCAGCCTTCCCCAGTGCTGGCTACAGGCATGCGCCAGCCATGCCCGGTAATTTTGCTATATATATTCAGTTGGCTCTATCTTATTTGAGAGTAAGATCGGATTTGCGGCGGTCTCGCTCGTTGCTCAGGCTGGTTGCTGAACTGACCTGGCAATGCGTCGCCGCCTCGGAACCTGCCCGACACAGCCAGTGGGGCCCCCGCGCAGCTAAGGCAGGCATTAGCAGCACAGGGGCGCGCGCGGGGCCGCCAGCGAGTGCGAGGCGAGGTGGAGGCCGGGACGGGAGGCTGCCTCCTGGGAGGCTGGAGGCCCGTGGAGGCGGCGGCCGGCGGGGCCTCCGGGAGGCCGGGAGCGGAGGGCGGCGGGACGCCCAGCACGACCTCGAGGCCAGGGATGTCGGAGGCCGCGGGCAGCGCGGGGTCGGCCACCAGCTCGTCCCAGGTGAACTCGAAGACGTTGCGGACGCCCTTGGGGACGGGGACGCCCGCGCTCCGCAGCAGGGCCAGCAGCCTCGAGGCCCGGGCCAGCAGCCTCGGCGCGGAGGCCGCCAGCTGCAGGTAGAGGTCGTGGTTAGTCTTGCCGTGGGCCATGGGGTCGGGCCGGGGTCATCGCGGCGGGCTGGGGTCGCGCCGGGTGACCCTGCTCGTCACCTCCCCACCCGGCCCGGAGAGACAGAGAGAGAGAGACAAAAAAAAAAAAAAAAAAAAACAAAGAGCCGGCCTCCTCTTCCGGCCCCCTTTTTTTTTTTTTTTTTACGACGAAGGCTCCCGGACCGAGGAGGACGGGCCGGGGGAGGCCGAGGGTGGCCGGAGGCTCATGGGGCGGTTGGTGCCTGTGGGGGGGACAGGAGAGGAGAGAAGGGGTCAGAAGCCGCTCGGGGAGGCCCGGGAGGGAGGATCGCTGGAGGCCCGGAGCGGGAGGCCGGGCCGAGCAAGAGCGAGACCTCCCCGTCGCTACTGAAAAAATATATATAGAGAGAGAAAGGAATTAATTGGCCGAGTAAAAATATACACAAGAATGGTAATCCTTAAGCAGGGTGGGGAGGCCGAGGAGGGAGGCTCGCTCGAGGTCAGGAGTGTTGGAGGCCGGGCCGAGCAAGAGCGAGACCTCCCCGTCGCTACTGAAAAAATATGTAGAGAAAGGAATTAGTCGGCCAGTTACAAAATATACAGAAAAATGGTGATCCTCAGCAGGGGGAGGAGGCCGAGGAGGGAGGATCGAGGCCCGGAAAAGCGAGGCCGGGCCGAGCAAGAGCAAGACCCCCGTTGTCTCTACTAAAAAAAAAAAAAAAAAAAAAAATAGAAAGAAATTAATTGGCCAATTAAAAATATATAGAAAAATAGTAATCCCAGCAGTGTGGGAGGCCGAGGCGGGAGGATCGCTCGAGGTCAGGATTTCGAGGCCAGCCTGAGGACAAGAGCGAGACCCCGTCGTCGGGTTATTAAAAAATAGAAAGAAACGAGGAAGCTAACAACATATTAAAAAAATGCCCAGAACGCGGAGCTCACGCTGCGTCTCCCAGCATCTGGAGGCCGAGGCGGGAGGCTCGCGCGACAGGTCGGAGTGGAGGCGGCTGAGCAAGAGCGAGACCCTCGTCTCTACTAAAAAAAATAGAAGAGAATGAGTTGGATGAGTAAAAAATAGTATAGAGAAAAACGAGCCAGGCGAGGCGCACGCCTGTTAGCCCAGCTACTTCGGGAAGGAGGCGAGGGCGGAGGCTCGCGGAGCCAGGAGTTGGAGCTGTCGTGTGAGGGAGGCGCTGGGAGCCGCTCTGGGAAGGGTTAAGGTGACCAGTGGGAGTCCGGGAGACCCGGAAGATTCCGGGGGGGGGACCCCGGGGCGACGGCAAAGACGGGGGTCCCCGCCCGGCCTTCACCTTGTGTCGCTGGGCGCCCAGCGAGCCCGGCCGCGGCTTCCGGTCTGTTGACAAAAACCTGCAGGAACGAGAAGACCTTGAGCCAGACCCCGTCTCCGCTGGAAAAGAAAATTAATTGAGTCAACTAAAAAATATCAGAAAAAACGAGGCACGGGAGCGGAGGCTCACCGCCTGTCGACCCGCTACTCGGGAGGGAGCCGAGGCGGGAGATCGCTCGCAGAGGCAGGACGTGGAGGCCAGCCTGACCAAGAGCGAGACCCGTCTCTCTAAAAAAAAAAAAGCAGAAGAACAGAGATACTTGAGCAACTAAAAATATATAGAAAAAACGGAGGCCGGGCGTGGAGGCTCACGCCTGTAGTCCCAGCTACTTGGGTGGAGGCCCAGGAGGGAGGCTCGCTCGACGTCAGGAGTTGGAGGCCAGCCTGAGCGAGAGCGAGACCCCGTCTCTACTAAAAAAATAGACAAAAATTAATTGAGCGACTAAAAATACAGAAATATAGAATATAGAAAATATTCTATATTTTCTATAAATATTTTCTATACATAGAATATTTCTATAAATATTTCTATATCTATGTATTTCTATATTAAATATTTCTATATTTCTATAAATAGAATATTTCTATAAAATTTAGATATATTTATATAATTAATTTCTATATTCTATAAAATAAATATGTATAAAATTTTCTATATTTATATATTTCTATATAAATATTTCTATATTAAATACTTCTATGTTAAATATTTCTATATTAAATATTTCTATATTTCTATATATATTTCTATAAATAGAATATTTCTATAAATATTTCTATATTTATATATTAATATTCTATATTTCTACAATAAAATATTTCTTGTATAATATCCTATGATAATATATTTCTATATAAATATATTTCTATATTATACTCTTATAAAATTTCATATTAAATACTCATATTGATTCTATAAATATTTCTATAAATATTTCTATATTTCTATATTAAATATTTCTATATTTTTATAAACATTTCTATAAATATTTCTATAAATAGAATATTTCTGTAAATTTCTACATTTATGTATTTCTATATTAAATATTTCTATATTAATATTTCTATATTTTCTATAATATTTCTATAAATATCGTAATAATTATTCTGTAAATATTTCTTATGTATTCATATTATTAAATATTTTCTATATTAATAATTTCCTAATTTCTATAAAATATTTCTGATAATAGAAATATTTCTGTAAATATTTCTATATTTATGTATTTCTATATTAAATATTTCTATAAATATTTTCTATAAATATTCTATATAGGAAAAATATAGAAAACAAAATTTTATCCGGGCGTGGAGGCGCATGCCTGTTGTCCCAGCCTCTACTCGGGAGGGAGGCCGAGGCGGGAGGCTCATTGCTGGAGGCCAGGAGTCGGAGGCTGCTGTGAGCGAGGCTGAGGCCGCGGCGCTCACCCCAGCCCGGGCGACAGAGCCAGACTCGGCCTCACAAAAACCAAACAAACAAAAACAACAGGCGACCCTAAAACTCCCGGGACTGTGACGCGAGTCACAATCTCGGGGCCGTCACAGCGCGAAAAACGCGACCGTTAAAATAAAACAAATATTTTCCCGCATTCGCGCTCGTGTGTCGATATTTTCACCGCGACGTTTTTTCTTTTTTATTTTTGAGACAGAGTCTCGCTCTGTCGCCCGGGCCGGAGTGAGCGCCGGGGCGTCAGCCTCGCTCACAGCAGCCTCCAACTCCTGGCCTCAACTGAGCCTCCCGCCTCGGCCTCCCTCCCGAGTAGCTGGGACGACAGGCGTGCGCCACCACGCCCGGCTCATTTTTTTCTATGTATTTTTAGTTGGCCAATTAATTTCTTTCTATTTTTAGTAGAGACGGGGCCTCGCTCTTGCTCAGGCTGGCCTCGACCTTCTGGCCACGAGCGAGCCTCCCGCCTCGGCCTCGCTCCCGAGTAGCTGGGACGACAGGCGTGAGCCTCCACCCACCCTGGGGCTCATTTTTTCTATATATTTTTAGTTGGCCAATTAATTTCTTTCTAATTTTTTTAGTAGAGACGGGGTCTCGCTCTTGCTCAGGCTGGTTTCGACCTCCTGACCTCGAGCGATCCTCCCGCCTCGGCCTCCCAGAGTACTGGGATGACAGGCGTGAGCTTCCGCGCCCGGCCTTCGTTTTCATTTTTGACACAGTCTCGCTCTGTCGCCCGGGCCGGAGTGAGCACCGTGGCGTCAGCCTCGCTCACAGCGGCCTCCATCTCCTGGCCTCCAGCGAGCCTCCCGCCTCGGCCTCCCTCCCGAGTAGCTGGGACTACAGGCGTGCGCCTCCACGCCCGGCTCAGTTTTTCTATATATTTTTTGTTGCTCAATTAATTTTTTTCTATTTCTTTAGTAGAGACGGGGTCTCGCTCTTGCTAATCAGGCTGGCCTCGACCTCCTGACCTCCAGCGATCCTCCCGCCTCGGCCTCCCTCCCGAGTAGCTGGGACTACAGGCGTGCGCCTCCACGCCCGGCTCACTTTATCTATATATATATATTTTTTAGTCATCTAACTAATTTCTATTTTCAGTAGAGACGGGGCCTCGCTCTTGCTCAGGCCGGCCTCCGACTCCTGACCTCGACTGAGCGATCCTCCCACCTCGGCCTCCCAAGTAGCTACGCTTACAATTTTTCTGCATATTTTTAGTTGGCCAATTAATTTCTTTCTATTTTTTTAGTAGAGACGGGGTCTCGTTCTTGCTAATCAGGCTGGCCTCCAACTCCTGACCTCGAGCGATCCTCCCGCCTCGGCCTCCTCCCAGACTACTGGAACTACAGGCGTGAGCCACCGCGCCCGGCTCATTTTTTCTATATATTTTTTGTTGCTCAATTAATTTCTTTCTATTTTTTTTTCATTTAGTAGAGACGGGGTCTCCGTCTTGCTCAGGCCGGCCTCCGACTCCCGACCTCGATCCAGCGAGCCTCCCTCCTCGGCCTCCCTCCCAGAGTGCCGGGACGACGGGCGTGAGCCTCCGCGCCGGGCCGATCCTTTTATGTCTCCTTTTGCTCGGGGGGGAAAAGGTCGATCTAAGGGACCCCAGAGGCCGGGGGCCTCGCCCCCGAGGTTGGTGGCCTCCGTTGTCGAACCCCCGGCGGCCTCTACCGGCCCAACGGTTGGGCCTCGGTGTCCCGCCACCTCCCGAGGGGACACCCCGGCCCACGGCCCTGTCTCTCATCCAAACTCAGAGTCCCGCACCCCGGGCTCCTTCTCCACGGCCTTCCTGGGCCTCTACCCAGCCGGGACTGTCGTCCTCCGAAAGCCACCAAACCTCCAGGGAGCAAGAGGCCCAGGGCGACAGCCTGCCTCCTTCCTCCTCCCGTCCCAGGGGAAAAAAAAAAATAAATGAGGCCGGGCGCAGTGGAGGCTCACGCCTGTCATCCCTGGCACTCTGGGAGGAGGCCGAGGCGGGAGGCTCGCTCGATCGAGGTCGGGAGTTGGAGGCCGGACTGAGGAGCACAAGAGCGAGACCCCGTCTCTACTAAAAAAGTAGAAAGAAATTAATTGAGCGACTAAAAATATATAGAAAAAAAAAACGAGCCGGGCGTGGAGGCGCGTGACTGTCGTCCCAGCTACTCGGGAGGGAGAGGCCGAGGCGGGAGGATCGCTCGAGGTCGGGAGTTGGAGGCCAGAAAGAGCAAGAGCGAGACCCCGAATCTACTAAAAAAATTACAAAGAAATGAGCCGGACGACTAAAAATATATATAGAAAAGACGAGCCGGGCGTGGAGGCGCATGCCTGGAGTCCCAGCTACTCGGTGGAGGCTGAGTCAGGAGGATCGCTGGAGGTCGAGGCCAGCCCGAGCGAGAGCGAGACCCCGTCTCTACTAAAAAAGTAGAAAGAAATTAATTGAGCAACTAAAAATATATAGAAAAAAATGAGCCGGGCGTGGAGGCGCGTGCCTGTGGTCCCAGCTACTCGGGAGGGAGGCCGAGGCGGGAGGCTCGCTGGAGGCCAGGAGTCGGAGGCTGCTGTGAGCGAGGCCGCTCTAGCCCGGGCGACAGAGGGAGACTCTTGTCGCGAAAACGACAAAGGGGACTTCCTCCTCCTCCTCTTCCTCCTCCCCGGCCACCCCTTTGACCCCCTGGGATCTCCCGGCCTCCGCTTTGAAGGCCGGAAAATAGAGGCTCATTTTGTCGGCAAAATGCTGAGTCCGCAGAACAAACCGACAACGGGCTCGGAATCTGGGGGTCACCAACGGCCGCCCTTGACCTTGACCCTGCGGGGGAGGGGGGCACACTTGTTTCCTTTTTCCAGACAAGAGTCTCTCGCTCTGTCGCCCAGGGCCTCAGCCTCCCCGATTGCGGCAACTTCAAGCGATCCTCCTGCCTCAGCCTCCCCTCCCGAGTAGCTGGGACGACAGGCGTGCGCCTCCACGCCCGGCTCGTTTTTTCTATATATTATTATTTAGGCAATTAATTTCTTTCTATTTTTTTTTTTTAATAGAGACGGAGTCTCGCTCTTGCTCAGACTGGCCTCCAACTCCCGACCTCGAGCGATCCTCCTGCCTCGGCCTCCCCTCCCGAGTAGCTGGGACTACAGGCATGCGCCTCCACGCCCGGCTCATTTTTTCCATATACTTTTAGCTGTCCGATTAATTTCTTCCTATTTTTTTTAGTAGAGACGGGGTCTCGCTCTTGCTCAGGCCGGCCTCCACCTCCTGACCTCGAGCGATCCTCCCGCCTCGGCCTCCCAGACTGCTAAGATTACAGTTTTCTCTATAAATATTTTTAGTTGGCCAATTACTTTCTATTTTTAATAGAGACGGTGGTCTCGCTCTTGCTCAGGCTGATTGCGAACTCCTGGCCTCCAGCGATCCTCCCGCCTCGGCCTCCTCCCAGAGTGCCGGGATGACAGGCGTGAGCCTCCGCGCCCGGCCTCCCTTTTTTTTTTTTTTTTTTTTGATAGGAAACGGCTGGCGTGGGGGCCCGGCTCACCTTGCTGTCTGGAGAGGAAGGAAGGAAGCCCCCACGACGCCCTGGCCTCTCTGCGCCTCGGTGCCCGCCCAGCCCCGGCCTCCACCCCCCGGTTCCGAGTTCTAGATTCCGCTGGCCTCGACTGATGTCACAACCGGCCCGGCCGGACCCACCCGGCGTCCGGGGGACACACACGGATCCCGCAGGGTTTCGGCGGCGTCTGCGCAGCTGAACGCGGCGGGGGAAATCTCGCGACCTCCAGCGAGCCTCCCGCCCCGGCCTCCCTCCCGAGTGGAGGCTGGTACGACAGGCGTGAGCCTCCACACCCGGCTCGGGTTTTTTTTTTTCTATATATTTTTAGTTCTCCAGCTCATTTCTTTCTGATTTTCTTAGTAGAGACGGGGTCTCGCTCTTGTGCTCAGGCTGGCCTCCAACTCCTGGCCTCGAGAGAGCCTCCTGCCTCGGCCTCCCAGAGTGCTGGGACTACAGGTTGGCTCATTTTTTCACGTATTTTTAGTTGTCCGGCTGATTTCTTTCTATTTTTAGTAGAGACGGGGTCTCGCTCTTGCTCAGGCTGGCCTCGACCTCCCAACCTCGAACGAGCCTCCCGCCTCGGCCTCCCTCCCGAGTAGCTGGGACTACAGGCGTGCGCCACCACGCCCGGCTCGTTTTTTTCTATATATATTTTTACTTCTCCAATTAATTTCTTCCTATTTATGGTAGAGACGGGGTCTCGCTCTTGCTCAGGCTGGCCTCGACCTCCCGACCTCGAGCGATCCTCCCTCCTCGGCCTCCCAGAGTGCCGGGACGACAGGCGTGAGCCTCCCGCGCCCCCGGCCTCAGTCTAAGGTTTTTAACTGTGTATTCTGTGACATCTGAACACACATCACGAATTCCTTAATAAAAGCCAGCCTCCAATGGCGACACGCCCTTACGTGGTTTTTGGAGACTTCAGGTGAAAAAAAACAAAAAATGGAAAAAAGATCCATAAATAATTTTTGTACATTGCTTATGTGTTGGAATGATTTTCTGAATATACCAGGTCAAAAAATATAAAGGGAGGCCGGGCGCGGAGGCGCACACCTGTCGTCCCAGCTACTCGGGAGGGAGGCCGAGGCGGGAGGATCGCTCGAGGCCAGGAGTTGGAGGCCAGCCTGAGCAAGAGTGAGACCTCGTCTCTACTAAAAATAGAAAGAAATGGATTATCCAACTAAAAATATACACAAAAAAAACGAGCCGGGCGTGGTGGCGCATGCCTGTCGTCCC